ATGCTACCTTGCAATGTTATCAAATTGCTCATCTTCTTATTTTCGCAGCTCACCATGTTAAAACTGGGACCTGTGAAGTGGTGGCACTCCACAGATGTTGCAATAAGAACAAGATAGAAGAAAGATCACAGACGGTGAAGTGCTCCTGCTTCCCTGGGCAGGTAGCAGGTACCACCCGGGCAGCTCCTTCTTGTGTTGATGGTGCGACTACTTCTATTGCTTCCTTTCATCGCATGTTCCTAGGGGTTTTGCTGGCTTAATGTCATCAGGGAGAACCACTCCAGTTAACTATTTAAAATAAGAGTAGTAAAGCTTCTGCATTTTGAAGGGCATGCCCAAGGTGAATGGGAGGAGGATGAGAAAAATTAATTATTTGCTATTGCTCTGTGGAAATGCTGAGCGAAATTATTAAATGCCAGTGAAAGAGACCTCTTGAGAAGCTAAATTTGATCTAACTAAGAGACTGCCCTCAGTGCTGTGTGAAATTCACTTAATTAAAAATGTTTACGCAAAATTTATGTAAGCGTATAATTTTCATGTCTTAAATTTTATTTATATATTCATTTTTATCCTACAGGAACAAGCAAGCAAAAAAGCAGAACACGGTTATGGCTGTTTCTTGGTCTTTTTAGGCCAACACTATTTTTCCGAGTCACAGTGCAATATTAATGTTTTACTTAACAAATCTAGTATAGGCTTGTGTGTTTTATTTGGGAAAATACTAGCTGACTTTTCACATCTTTTTCTCTGAAAGAGGAGCAGAATGGATTCCTCCTTCACGTGATCTCTTTACTGTTGATATGTTGGTGAGTGTCAGAGAAGCTATAAATGCGTCATCGTTGGGGAATAAATTTAATCAGGATGTGCTAGACTATATAGTAGATCAGGCAAAATATACTAATTCAAAAGAAGAGATTCTACTTAAAACTTTGAAATCTGGCTGAGCAGGAAAAAATGAGGATTGGAAAGAAATGCTGTGAAATTAGTTCCTGAACTGCAGTAAATTAGAAAAAAAACCCAACACAGTAAAGAGATTGACTTTGAAGCCCATAGCACCTTGAACAAATTAAGACCTAATTTCTTATGAAGGTTCTGAGCTGGCTGGAAATCACAGACTAGCAGTCAGTCAATGTATTTTTAAAATTTTCCTGGAAAATAAAAGAAATGTTGCAAAATAATGACATATTAAGGTGTCCATTTCAACAACAAGCAAATGTTTTTGTTTTCCTCTCTTTAGCTTCGATAGTGGAGCAGAAATGGTGGTGCCACATGCAACCGTGTCTTGAAGGGGAGGAATGTAAAGTTCTTCCAGATCGTAAGGGATGGAGCTGTTCCTCTGGGAATAAAGTGAAAACAACTAGGGTAGGTATGATACCAACCTGACATGTTACCAACAAGTTAAAAAAATAAGTGCACAGGAAATTGGGTGCACATAGAAGACCTGAGAAGACTAAACAAGTGTGGGAAGAGAGTCATACTGGGATTGGACTTCCTGGTCCTGCACACTTTTCTCAGCATACTTTGCAATTGCTTGAACATGGTAAGCAGTGTGCCAGACCTTCTCAGGTAAGCAGTGGAGATAGTAGAGTTGCCCCTTTTTTCAATTACCAGTGATGATCAGATGTATTATAATCTGATATGTATTTCTCTCTGAAACCTGTTTCACAAAGTCTATACGCTTTGCTAAGCTCTTCATTCACAGGATAGCAAGCAAGTGCATTTTTATCAGTAACATGGAATTACCATGTTTCTACATAGAAACTGCTGAGTGTGGTAAGCATTTGATGTGTCATTACAGGATGATCTGTTTTTTTGTGTCTTGTGTGACTGGGATTTACTAATAAATTTTGACAGAGTTTCTGTGAGTTCCTTTTCTCCATTTGACACTCTTTATATTATTGGTTCAAAATTACATTAACAGAAATACATCTAACATTCATCATATACAATGCCTGAAAACAAAGTAAACGTGCTGTCATCTTTGCTTTTTAATGACTGAGAGAAACAGAAGAATAACAAATTCTTCAGTTAAGCATTAAACACTCAAATCTTCCTAGAACTGTAGCGTTGTATCTCTATAGGGTCAACACAGTTCTTCATCAACATAAAACAGATTAAAATGTGCTCTGAAGACACACATGCCTGTGAGTCAGCATAAACACCCTCACCCCTACACCTCACCACACATACTGATGACTGGTTTTGCTTGTATTTAGTAATTGTTCGTCGTGTCAGGCCATAATTTGCTAGTGCGGTGTTTACTCTGTGCAGGTGTTTGAGTGTCCATGTCATTTGATTGAAGTTTTCCTTGCATAGGCACTAAATTTCTGGTACACCTTGATTGTAGCGTGCACTGGCTGAATTATATTCCTTCTGTTCCACAGAGAGCTCTACATGTCTCAGTTTCAGTATGCATAAGTCTTTAAAACATTTTCACGTTCTTTGAAGGAAAGGTACTTCTTAAATGTTTGATATACAATTCCACTCCTGAATCCTCTTTCAAATGTGTTTCTTCTGAAGCTAACCTAACTTTGTACATGCCAGTGCAAATCTGATTATATGCATGTAAAATGTGTGTGCATGTATAATATTACCAAATGGAACTAGATAGAATTTAATAATAGTAATAGAAATAGAGAAAGAATTATGCATGTGTGTTTTGAAATTTGTCCTGGCTACTACTACACGGCGCTAGTAGTGTTAAAGAATGCATACCATTTTATATTTATTGTGAGTGTTTAACAAGCAGTAAATAAAATATGGGGTTGGATTACATTTCTGTAGGAAAAAAAGAGGTCTCAAAAAGGGGAGATACCAATTAGAATCACCTTGAGGAGATTTTTTTCCTAACGCTTTGTCAGAAGATAGGTTTTTCTACATTGGTCAAGGTTATGAAGTTCTGTCCACTTACAGGAATTTAGAGAAGCCCGAGGCTCTGGTCCTCAAGGGCTTATGCCTCTGTTGGTCTGGCTCTTTGCAGGAGTTGGACTTTTCTTGTCCTCCATGGATGGTGGCAATCCTCAGGACTCATTTCGCGCCCCTTCAGAAGTGATGCTATGAAAAAGCCAATCCTTTTGTCTATTATTTGCTACCACAGGCACTGATTCACTACAATGGCTACCATAACCTGCTTGCAGACCTACCACCACTGAAAGGAAAATACTAATCCTCTTAATTCTCCCACTATTTGTTCTGCCTTCTGATCTGTCCAGATACTGTATGTTGTTGCCCCTGCTTTCTTTATTTTCCACGCGGCTGCAAAGCTGTTTTGAGACAATAGCAAGTTTGAATTCAAATTTCTGACTGAAAGTTGGTCTAAGTCATTGAAACCAGGTGGCAGGTGAATGAAGATCACTCTCTTTCCAGATGCAGGGGGCTGAGATTTTAACAGATGTCATTCTGAAGCCCAGAAAAATATACATTGCTATTGGAAAATGTGAGTGATTCTTTGTGTTAAAAGAGTAGCTTATTATCACAAAGCACATACTTTTACCTAATATGTAATGACTCCAATATTTTTGTAGCTCCTCTTTCTGCTCCCCAAAGTCTATAAAAATAAATGGAAAAATTCTGAAGTGCTCTGTGGTTTGAACCTCCCCTTTTTTTGTGAATAGTAGGTTTCTAATTGTCAAATGAAATAACCTATATGTGTTTATCATGTATAATGTAAAAGCATAAAGAAACAAAGAGAACTGAACAGCCTGGGTGATTTAAGTGTATTGCAGAAAAGCCTTATGAAAGCTTTCCTGAAAGGCATAAGAAAGTCTATATTCACGTCCAAACATTTTCTGTAAGTTTGCCTCCTTCATGTGCAGAAAAAGTAACCAATTAAACGCTGAAGTACTGTCTTCTCTGCTACAGGATACCAAGTTCAAAAGCGGCACCTACATTTCCACATCTCAAGCTGTTAATAGTTAAGCATTTTGCTAGCGATAAAACCAGTGGAGGAAGGAGGTATTTTGCCTGTCCACGTCTGTTAGCATACTTAATCACACTGTTGTAAAAAATGATGATACTAACTTCTTAGTACTTATGGTATCAGTCACTAAGCAAAAAGGCCAAGTGAATAATGGGAGAAAGCGAACTGATTTTTAAAAATGTGGTCTACTTGAGGTTTTGCCTTTTGTTCAGATATGGAGATCTAATAAGATAATAGATGAATAATGAATTAGAATTAGCACTAATGTTATGGTACTCAGAATTCAAATGCTGAGAAAAGTTAGGTGGAAATTAATTACCCTCAGATTGCAAAAACAGGTATTATGGAAAGATTAAACTGTTTTTCCTAATTTGCCTGCATATTAGTGGGAGAGGGCTGACATTAGGAGTTAACTGTGGAAAAGGAATTAATATGGGGAGGGAAGTGTGTATGAATAAGCTGAGTACTGAGTTATGTTGTGCTGGTTTAGAACTGACTACTTGGCTCTATGTAGCCTGCAGGAAGTGGAGGGGAGAAAAGGCAATGACAGTTTAGCTAAAACAGTAATTTTTTTGAATTTATATAAAGAAATGCATGTTTGCAATCCTAAGCATTATACCACAACAAAAGAGGATGTTCAGGAGCACTTTAGGAGAATTTTGAAATGATTATGTGCATAGCTGAGATTTACCAGGCACATGCTGGCATTCTCCTCCAGACTGAGAAACTGTTGTGAGAGGAAGCAGTTGAAATTTTTTTTCTATATGGCTAGCCTCAATGTTTTGATAAATAAACACGAAACTTTTGTCACATTGCCCTCTTTGAATGATGACAAAAGTTTTAAAAAAAAGGAGAAATCCAAAGAATTTTTTTTTAACCTTGGAAATATTTTTTCTTCCAGCCTTTTTCTAATATAATTATTTTCATTCAAAAAGCTGTCTTAGTTGTATTTCCTTTCCTTTTTGCAAAATAAGAAAAATGTTTAAAACAGGAATTTTCCCATCAGTTGAAAACTACAAAATATAGCAGTATTATGTATAAAATTGGCAATGACATTAAAAAAATGCTATGGGTTTGTATTAAACAATGGAGCCCTGTACAAAGACTGGAAAACAACATTTTGCAGTCAGAAAAGAGCTGAGGAGAAAGAATTTAGTATTTCTCTCAGTTATGGGGCACATTCCACATCAGAGGACTCTGGGTAGGAGTTTTTCAAGGGCAGATCCCAATGCCAGGCTTTACTTGTATTTTTAAGAACAGTACATTACATGTTATCTTTATAGTGGAGTCTGACTTTAAAGAAGAGCACCAGAAGGTGCACGTAACCTGTATGAAAGTGCATGCTGCAATGCCTCCTGGGGTCCCAGTTCCCCAGGCATCAGCTCTGAGACTAGCTTGGAGCATTTTGTGACTTCTGGGCAGCCCATAAACCCATCTGCCTTTCCTGCAGAAACTAAAGCACAGGAACACAAGTAAGGTGATGCATCCTGGGTCTCATCTTGAGATTCTGGAGCTGCAACATGACTGAAGAAGTGTGCACTTGTGCCCTGGAGTGGGGAAGTGTCCCTGGACTGATGTTTGATGGAAATGTAGAGAAATATGCATTGATATTTTTCATATGAAATAGAGTAGAATGGAATGGAATGGAATGGAATGGAATAGAATAGCATAGAATAGAATAGAATAGACTATTTCAGTTGGAAGGGACCTACAACAATCATCTAGTCCAACTGCCTGACCAATTCACAGCTGACCAAGTTAAAGCATGTTAATGAGGGTGTTGTCCAAATGCCTCTTAAACACTGACAGGCTTGGGGCATTGACTACCTCTCTAGGAAGTCTATTCCAGTGCTTGACCAACCTCTTGGTAAAGAAATGCTTCCTAATGTCCAGTTTAAACCTCCCCTGGTGCAGCTTTGAACTATTGGGCAGTAATGAAATGGTACCTTGTTCTTAAGCTTTTAGTTTGATTTGGTAGAACTGTTTGTGGAATGAGGCATAGTTTAACACTTAAGTTCTGGTTCAAATACGTGGAGTGGAATTTACTGGACTTTGCTTGGGTTAGGACTCTCTAGAGTGAGATGACTATCCTAAGCTCTAGGCTGTCTTTTTAGTCTTGGAGGGAGTTGTTAATTTCCAGAGGACAATTAATTTTGTCCTAAGATAAGTCAGATTAATTATCTTCTTATGTCTCCTTAGTAACTCCAAGTGCTTATGTCTCCTTAGTAACTCCAAAGGAAAGCTATAATGACTGCCTTAGCACCTAACATTTAGATACTTAATGTTGAATAGGAAGATGCTGGCTCGGAGACTTTACTCTCTTTGATGTGGTCTTCAGTAGGAAGATGATCAAAAAAGCCCCTTCATTCATTATCAATTTGGGAAGCTTTGGACTTTGACCACTATAAAATGTGATATAATATAAGAGAAGTTTTCAGAATGT